CATTAAATGTTGAATGATAGCAAGTGCAGGTGTGTAAGCCCTCCCTGATGAGCATTTAGGTAAAAGCAATGCAAGAAATTTACATTTAAATCCATGTAATTCTCAAGAATCAGGGCTCTTGTGTGCAAAGGTACCTCTGAATCTTTTGCTCTGTGTAGCTAACTCTCATTTAAAAAACAAATAAAAAGGCTTTTTGCTCTCACACACGTTGGACAGCTCTGTTCAGAGCTTTCCCTTCTTGGTCAAGGAAAACCCATTCTGTCTCTGAATTAGCATCTTGGCTCAGGGTCAGTTGTATGAACTGCCCATGAGTCAAACAGCTCTAACCCTGCTCTGGCAAGAAATCATTCCAGCTACTGAATTAGCTGCACAGCTTCTCAGAAATGAAGGGTGCTGCTACCTGTCATGCCCCTGGACAGTGATGGCTTTAAGATTAAACATCCAGCTAAAGAATAACTTAAATTTGGCATCATGCCCATTGCTACTGATCAGGGCTGGCTGGTTTTGCACTGAGGATCAGCTTCTCAGAACTGGAGCTCTCTTACCCTTTTTTTCTTCCTCTTCTTCTTCAAAGAATTCAGGTAAAGAAAATGCTTCTTTGAGTTGCTCCATTTCCTCCTTAAGTGTGTCCAACTGCTCTCCAGAGAGGGCATTCAGAACCGCTTTCACCTGGTTAGGGGCAGCACAGCCAAAGAGAGAATCAATAAATCCATCCAACAGGACGGAAAATGCAGGCCAAGGTAGAAACCAGTGGGTGTGAGGACAGTAACTTGTGAAAACTTGGCGACCTGCAGGAACTGAGGCTGGCTGGGATAAAGGGAATGGCTTTAGGAGCTGGGGACAGGACAAACTGCTCCCAAGGTAAACACCAGATCCTAATGCAAGGATCAAAGCAAAGTTCTGTAATCATTTTACAGGAAGTTCGTAGCACTTGATTTTACATGTATATACCTATATTTCTTATCTTTTTTCCCCTGCTCAGCTGAACTCAAAATAGAAAGCAAAATGCTCAAGGCCATTACCTTTGATTCACTCTCTCTGGAAAGCATCTCTAAGGCCTCCAGATGCGAAAGACCCTGAAACTCATCAAACAGTAACCCATAATGGGCTTTCTTCTCAGTAGCCATGGTAACCTCGGTAGCTGTCTGCTGCTCTTCTTTCTCCTTTGCCTCTCGTAAGACCTGAAAAAGAAAAGCAGAGGCCTCGTGACAGTGCCAGGAGATAGAGAATACAGAGGGAGAAATGAGAGAAAGCAATGAGGTGGTGATAGGGAACTGCTGTACCTGAGATAACGTAGAGGTTCTGTTTATTAGGCCCTTTGTTTTTTTGAATCCAGGGTCTCCCTCAGCTATTACATCCATTGTCTTTTTCCCGATGAATTCCAAGGCATCCAGACCTCCACTAATAACACTTTTACCCTAGGAATCAGATTTGGATAAAGACAGCACATAAAACTCAGAGAAGATTACACAATGGAAGAAATTTAATTGGGAGAGTTTTATCAGCAATCTTATGCTGGGCACTCACATAAAAGCCAAATTGGTCCTTGTCACCCTAAAATTCAACCCTAATCATCACAAAGAGAGCAGCAGGACATAGAAAGAACCACAACACATTATCACCCAACAGCTTATTACAGCACCCAGAGAGCTGCAGCAATCTGATGGAAAATACATTTTTTTTTAGTTCATGAACAAGCTGGTTCTCAGCACATCACAGTATTCAGTTCTCATCCTTCCAATGAGAAAACACCAGACCTGTGGATTTTACTGCTAACTTTTGTTTGAGCCTTAAAAGCAGAAACAGAAGCACCTTTCCATCTGCAGCTCTTTCAGATTCCCAGGCAAATTGACAAGACAGCACATCACAAAAGCAGTTTCTAAGGGTAATGGCTTCCTTTGAAGTGCATTTCTCATGGTCACAGGAGCAAGCTGATTTCCAAGCCAGTTGGGCTAGTTTCACATATGTTTTTGAAAAGGAGAATGGATTTCATCTCTAGTTCTGTGGAAATCAGTGGAAATACTCCAGGAATGAGTCTGACCCTGCATTTAGCTGACTACTCCAAAGGAAAGGCAGAGATGACAGAGTACAGAGGTGACATGCACAGAAATGCCTGCTTTGCACAATCACTGTTAGGACTTTTTTGTTATGTACCAGCATTCAGTACAGAACTATCAAAATTCAATGCATCTTTCACATTAAATGCCAGTTAGAAGCACGGCCCAGGATAAGGGTTGTCTGAAGGCTGGAAGAGTTTATCACCATGCATTCCACAAATGTCAAAATTAAGTTTCCTCTTACAATGTTTCAGATGAAAGGCCAAAACCCCAAAGCTCCCTTAAACCCATTTTCTCCTGCATTCCCAACTCACTCACTGTGCTTTGGACAGCAGTAGAGATGGTTGATAAAACTTCAAGAGCCCCAGCAATAGGGAAGGAGCTGCCATCATCAGCTGCATCAGCGTTGCTGGCAGCAGGATTCTCACTTCCTGCATTAGAAGGCAGAAAATTAACTTCCTGATTTCAAAAACAAAAAAAGATCCTGTCAGCCACAGAGTGGAGAAAATTAACAGACACCAAATATCAGCTAGGAGTAAGCTTACAATTCAGATTATTTTCCTCTCTACTTTTCAGAGCTAACAGAACTAAGCAAGAGAATATTATTTTAATGATTTTATTATCAGTCTCAAAGTGCAAGGTGCAGATTAAGGCAATGTTATTTTGGGGCTGATTATGTTATGAAAAACATCCCAGGGATGTTTCCATGCAGAACAAAACTGACCTTTTGTAGCATCTTTAGACTCTGTTGAGATTTCACTAGGACTGGGGATCCCAAGGGTTGTTTCTGCTTTTTCTATGACATTTGAAATACCTTGACCTAGAGAAGACAGAAAGCAGAACAGAAACAGGATTAGAGCTGCATGTTCTTTTTTATTATTCCAGATTCCTTCTGTTCAAAACAGTTTAACCAGCACTAAAACCTCCTTCCATCCATCTCACCTACCAATGTAATGAACCCAGGTTTCATCTTAGCTTTTAAATAAAGTTGTAAATATTGGCACAATAGTAGTTTAAAATACCAGGTGGAAATTACATAAACGCCTTAAAAACTTGAAAGCAATTCTGTCTGTGCATACCTCCTTAATCTCACTGTACCTTTTGGTACAAGCTTTTCCCATTACTTGAACAATTCCCTTGACATTTTTCCAATAATGGCCACTATAACTAAAATCCCCTTCTCTAGAAACAAGTTCTAAAGTACCAGCTTGAGACACAAAACATGATTAAAATATTTATCAAATACCAGAAAGAGCCTTACCTACAGTAGCTACGGTAGCAGACGCAGTTGACAGAAGAGATTTCCCCCAGCTTCCCCAGTAGCCCCACCCTGTCTGAACTGCAGGAGGATCTGAGACCTTTAATGAAGAAAAACAGAAGACTGATGCAGGCATTATGGTGAGGAGAGGAACACAAGCAATCGTGTGACTTTTGTGCAGCTTTTTCATTTCATAGAACAGCAATGTAAATTTTCAGAAAGGAGTTCTCCTGTGCTCAAAGCCATGAAATGTGAAGTCACATCTTTCTGAGCAAGCACAGGAACATACCTTGATGGTTTCGGCTGCAGGCTTTTCTGTGGCAGCAGGCTGGCTTGGGGGCTTGGGTTCAGGTCTTTTCCGAGTCACAGGCACAGTCTCTTGTTCTCTCCCTTCATTGCTCTCAGAGCAGCCAAGTTCCTCTGTCTTCTGTTCATTTTCAGCTTTGCTAAAGGTTTCATCTTTCGGATTTTCACCACTGTCTTCCTCAGACATGACTACAAATATCCAGAGAAAACGAAGTAAATAAAATAATCACTCCCTCGCACTTTGACATTAGTTCAAGCGCATCACGTTGGCGTTTTAAATACTTAAACACAACAATGTTGCCACACATACCCACATGTGTGTACTTCTGACTCAAAGAAATGTCATACTTGGAAGTTTAAAGTCCCACAGGGACACGTGGCTTTATCTAACTGACACACCCTCTACACAGGAAAAAAAACAAAACAGTCTGCTAACTCTGAAAAACAAATAAGGTACAAAAGGGCCTCAGATATTTAAACCTATTACATGTTCCACCAAAATAAAAGGGAAAACAAATCGCTTGGGACAGCTGGTTTGAGGAGTGCAGGGGACAAATGGGGACAGCTGTCAGAGAGCTGAGCAGGCAGGGAGGCATCGACTGGGTCACTTCTGTACTTGGGGGTGAGCAGTGCAGGGCAGGAACAGCCCCAAGAGCTGCGAGGAGCTCCAGCTGCCCCAGCATCGGGGATGGGGATGATGAGCGGGGCTGTCACGCCGCTCTCGGGGCCCTCGTGTCACCGTCCGGGCTCCTCTGGCAGGGACGGGACCTGCAGGGCCAGGCAGGGCCGAGCCGAACCGCAGAGCCCCCGGGATGCCGCTGATGCAGCCGGGGCAGCTGCCCCCACAACTTCCACAGCAACGGGGAAGCGATGACCTCAAGCGAAGGAAAGCGACAGCTCCAGGAGCGGGCTGGGGACCGCCACCCCATCTGCCCAGGACCCTCCACAGCGAGCCCGGCTCACCCCGCCACCCTCCCCACACAGCCCTGGAGGCCTCCCTGTGCCTCCGCTTCCCCGGGAGACCCCCAAAGTCCCATAATCCACACGGGGCTGCTCCATACGGCACCCCAAATTCCCCGGAGCTCCCTGTGGGGCTCCTGCCGCACAGGGAGCCCGCCAGGTGCCCACAGCACTGCCTACGGTGCCGCCTGCCCCACAGCCGCCCCCAGCCGCGTCTCCCCGCGGGGCTCGCTGTGCCCCGCACAGCCCCGGCCCTGTGCCGCCCTCACCGTCGGCGGTCGGCGCGGCCCCCGCGGCTCCGGGCGGACCGAGAGCAGCGAGGCCGGCGCAGAGCGGCCCCGGCGCTGCCCCGGAAGCGGCCTCAGCTCGGGGAAGCGCGTCCGGGCGGCGGGGCCGGCGGCTGCGGCGGAGCTCTGGGACAGGCCGGGCCGGGAAGCCTCGTCCCGGTGAGAGCGGCGGGACCGCCAGGTTCGCCTGGCAAGGTCGGGGGCGAGGGGCAGCGGCGAAGGGGGAGGCCGCGGGCCCATGTCCCGCCTCGCTGTTTTGGCGTGGAAATAGGGGCAGAAGGGGCGGGTTTGGGGGCAGCGAAAGTTGTGGAGGGCCTCGAGAGAAAGCCACATGAGGAACGGCTGGGGTCACTTGGTGTGCTCAGGCTGGAGAATGGAAACTGAGGGCAGAGCTCATGGGGGTCTGCAGCTCCTCCCGAACAGGGTCATCTCCGAGCTCTGCTGTGTGTGACAGGGACAGCACCCAGGGAACGGCTGGAGCTGTGCCAGGGTGGGTTAGAGTGGATTTTGGGAAAGGTTCGTCCCCCAGAGGGTGCTGGGCACTGCCCAGACTCCTCAGGGAATGGGCACGGCCCCCAGGCTGCCAGAGCTCCAGGGGTGTTTGTTTGGACAGAGCTCCCCAGCACGGGGTGGGATTTTTGCGGTGACCTGAGCAGGGCCCGGAGTTGGACTGGCTGATCCTGGTGGTTTTATTCCAACTCAGAATATTGCGTGTGTTTGTGTTTCTGGCATGACGTCGTGCCCCAGTGACACCAGCCTGTGGCCTCTTGGCCCCGTGCCCTCGGCTGTGGTGTGGCCGTGTCGTGTGTCACCTGTCCCACTGCCACCACCAGCCCAGCGGGACCAGCATTTTTGCACAAGAGAACTTGGAGCATACAGGGGCTATGAGGACAGGGTAACGTTAAGTGAAACTTTGTACCTGATCGTTTTTTAGCTGACAGGGCAAAAAACCCGTTTTGGTGCGCAGCCGGTGCCATGTCGTGGCGAGTTACTCCGTGACAGGTGTCAGGCATCCAAGGGATGAGCACAGGAAAACAACCCAAAAAAATCCCATCAGGCAGCCTCACGCAGCGAGGCTGGGCCTGGTGTGCTGTGGATTTACCCCTTAGGTTGGTTTTTGGGCCGTGGGTGCTGCCATTCCCCTGCAGAGCTTTGGCTGGTGGCAGCAGAGGGGGAGCCCTCCCTGCAGCCTGGGAGCACCCGGAATGGCTCTTGTCAAGGCCGTGCTGGCTGTGTTCATAAACTTCCCAAGAGTTCCTGTCTGCAGGGCTCTGCCAAATGCATCTCCCTGGTTTGACAGAGGGTCAGAGGGCGCTTGCAAATGGTGTTTCTGCAAGACATCAGCAGCCTGTGCTCTGTCAGGTGTGTCTCAGTTTATTGCCTCACGTTACTCCAGGTATGAAGTGATGTTATAAGCAGTGAATGTAAAACCATATAACTTGCAACCTCTTGGGCCCCAATTTTGCAGTGCCATATAAATGTGTGTAATTTTAAGTACTATCAGTGCTTCCACTGACCTCAGTGGGACTACTTAGAGTGCTCTAAGTTAGACACAAATACACTTCTTCAGGGTAGGAGCCAAGGATGACTCATACAAGCACATGCATCACAGATTTTTATCTTTCCAGTGCTATTTGTTGTTACAACTTATGGTTTAATAAAGGTTAAATGTGTTGAGCTCAGCTTCAGGTTCAGTTGTAAAATAGCCGGTTTCTATTCTGGCACATTTCATCTTGATTGAGCTTAACACTTTGTTGAAGAATTGGGATGTTGGCACTGATCAGGCTTTATCCTTTTTGGGTCCTTTATCAGCTCCAGCAGCTGTTTTGCATAAGTGCAATGGATGAAGAATATGGATTTTGCAAATCATTTTATTGTTCCCAGCACTCGGCAGTGAGAGATCATTGTCTGCTTAGCAATAATGGCTTTTCCAAAAGACAAACAATTTCTAATAAATCAGACCTCGAAGAATTTAATAGTAAAATTAAATGACCCATTACCAATGGTTTATGCATTATGCAGGCTCAGTGCAAGTATAGTGGAGAGCATATGCAATTACTGAAGATAATTATTCTTATGAGGGAAAATGTTGCTGAGTATTTCTTGTGTTAAATAAATGAGTGAGATTCCTAATGTCATTTAGGAGAAACGTCACAGACGCTTGGAAGCCTTAACAATTCAAATTTAATAATTTAAAATGACAATAGCGCAGGCAAAGTACAAGAGGCTCTGGGATTATTCTCTAATAAATCTAAAGCAGAGGTTATTGTTTTAGAAGACTGGAAGTTATTATGTGCCTGTGATTCAAGGGTGAAGATGAGGGTTTGTGTTTGCTGCAGAACTGTTGTCAGTTTTAACTGCATCAGGCCCTGTGAAGTCAAGTCTGATGGATGCAAAAGTGCATTTTTAGCTGAAGGCAGCTGGGTCATAGGGTGATGTCAGCTCGAAGTCTGGGACCACAGCACCTCCCTTGCCACCACAAGCTGTGGCAGACCTTTAAAGCAACCCAAATGTCAGTGGTCCACTGCCAGTCCACAGCCTGTCTGTGTGGTGTCTGCGTAAGGTTGCCAAAACAAGCAGGTCAATGTCAGCAGCTTTTTGCAGGCTCTGAAATGCTCTGAAAATACCAGGGGTGTAAAAATTGAAGGTTAAAACGCCCAAACAGAAAAATAATTGTTGATCAACGGCAGCCTTAGTAATTTTTTTTTCAGACCTGTGCTGTTGCTGTGGATGGGATGCTCTTCTTCAGAGGCAGCAGGACTCAGTAATGCTTTCCCTAAAGTGTAGCTGGTGAAAAACAGGAATGAAAGAGGCCGTGGTAGTGGTTTTAACTGTTTAGCTGTGGGAAAGTAGCTTCTCCAGCACAATGGTATAATTGAGTTCTCTGCACTAGTCTCGTCTTAAATGAAAGAACAAGAGGCATGATAGAAAACAGAGTGGGGCCAATAATTAAAAAAAAAAAAGAAAAAGAAGAAGGCAGATGAAGGGATTGCTGTTTATAGAGAAACAAGTAGGGAGCCTGTTTTCCAGTTTCTCTTGCAGGATTCAGTGAGTGGGTTGGTTAGTCAAGCTTGAAGGAGAGTTGGACACAGCTGTCTTCTTTGCCTTCTTTGTTAAACTGGTCTTGGCAATAGCCACAACAGAAATGGAAATGGGTCAGATAACACATTTCTCATCAGATGTCAAGTATGGAATCTGGTTTGACCTTCGACAAATTAACTTTCACTGAAAAAGAATCCCAGTCTGGATAGCATCAGCAGAATTTCCCCTTTTGAATATGCTTAGCTTGTGTCTGATGAAAGACAATTACTAGAAATCACCTGGGTTTATGCATGTTATATTATTTTTCAGAAGTGCTTTAGATAGTGTTAATTGGTAATTCTAGAAAGAGGAAAAGTGTCTGCATTATTTATTAAGTAAATGGGTTCCTTTGTGTTATTTATGAAATTCCCTTCCACTAACATCTGTTATTTGTAGAAGAAAAGATGATAAATTTGAAGTCACACAGTCAGTGGTATGAAGTGAGATATTTTTTAGGATAACATTTGAGCTTGTAGCTTCTGTACTTTGTAAATGATGTTTTAAGGCTCTGGAGCAGTCTAGATGGAATCATAACTTCAGGGAACACATATTGGATTAGAAATTTTCTTGAATCAGGCTTCCAGGAAAATTGATTACAGATTGTCTCTTATCAGTGTCATCTCATTTTGTTACAAGTTGGTTTTATTCTGGCTTGTGTGCAAAAGACAAATTAAGGAGGAAAATTAAAGGCTGTATCCTAATGCCTTAAAATATCTTTTGTGCACATTAATTTGAGGAGTATCTGTCCCTAGACAAAACAATTTTTCACATAGCTATGAAGTTTGGGTAGGGAAGACAGTGAAGAAAATATGACTGAGACGAAGTGACATAAACTAAAAGATTTTCAGCAGGAGCTCATTGTAAAATAAACAAGAATAACAGGAAGCAGACTTAGAAAATGCAGGAGCAACAAGAGATATTGCAAAAAAGAGAATATATGTAGATATCAGTGTCCTGGTATTCAGAAAGGGATCTCCTCTTCTGGCTGTAGATAACCACCAGGAGACTTTTCCCAAGTAATTAAATCATATTATATAGTATTTAGACATCTAATACCAGTTATGCCCCTAAAATCAAGTAAGTAGATGTAAATGCTAAAAATCAGATGTGTGTGTGTGTGTGTGTGTGTGTGTGTGTGTGTGGTTTTTCTCTGGATGGTAAATGAAAGACTGGCTTTAGAGAACGAGGGCTTAAAAGCACTTTGATATTGGTGGAGAGGGAGGCAGAAATTACATCCTCTTTCTCTCTTTTCTTCCTCTGTTAAGAAAGCACTTTTTCTCTGGTAAGAAATGCAGAATCCACTTTTAAAGATAATTGTGCATTTCGAGTAGTCTGAACAATTTGTTCTTTTTGTAAAACCTTTTTCCCCTTAATGATTATTGTTCCAGAGATTATTTATTTGGTTGGGAAGATGAACATCTAGTGGACTGGAGGTTGTGCTAATGCCTTCTTACCCTCATTTTATTACTGTGTTCTGAGCAAAGCTCTGATTTGGAACCTCTCAGCTGACAGTTTGTATAATGCTAATCGAAATCTGTTTACTGGAAATTAAATTTGAATACATGGTAACCTTGCTGTCATTAATAAACTTACTGCTTTTTTTTATTTTTTCAGTTTTACTTCCAGTTTCCACTTCAAATATTGATGGTCTTGAAAGTGCATTTGGATCCCAGACATTTTCCATCACAGAACAAATCAAGAGCTCTTCTCCTATCTCTGAGCAATACAGACAGCTTAATATCATATGACCTCATTTCTCCAAATTAAATGAAAGAAGAATTTTCACTAGCTTTCCATGAAGCTCAGCTATTGCCTGTTAATTTTGACTGTTAGTGCTGATCTTTCAGTTGGATTCACAGTGGAAAATGTAGCTTTTAACAGGACAGTTGCTTTTGGGTCTTTCAATGCATCACTTCATGCAGTGTCTCAAGCTTTAATAAGTTCTCCAGCACACTATGATATCATAGCCAAAGAGGGGACCAGTATTTTAATTGAATGTAAACTGAACATCAGCCAGTACGAACATATCCTTTGGTATAACTCCAGAGGACACCTGCTTGAACAGAAAGATGAAGGTGAGTTTTCCTGCTGTTTTCTATCCATCATTATTCCCCTTTTAAATAGTATTGGAAAACCTCTGAGACTTTATGATAATTTTCTCTTCCTATCCTCCCATTTTTACAATTGGGAGATAAGGAGAGAGCAAAGAAAAGTCCTTTGCCCTCTGAAATGTTGCTTGGGAATTACACCTGAGTGCTTCTGTTCCAGCCCATCCATCCTGTTTTAGTGCCCCACAGAATGGTGTTGCTCAAGAGTCATCCCACTAGTCCATGCAGAAGAAATTAATCCTCATCATTTAACTGATGGTTTTATTTATTATTGCTCTGGTTTAAATTATATTTTTCCAAATGCATTAATTAAGCACAATTCTCCACAGCTTGCGACCTTTTGAGCTGGCAGTTGGTGCTTTAATTTTGTTACAGGATATGTTTTAAAACATAATTAATACATTTATTTTTTGGTTTATGTACCAGTGAGACTGTGGAAAGTAACACAATATGTAATGCCCAACGACAGAATTCATGCTATTTAACCCTTTTGAACTGAAGTGGAATATATTTTCCTACCCTTTGGCTCTTTCAGTTTTATCCCTGCAGTTTTTAATTTAAAACAGTATTTTAGAAATGCATGTGTTTTTCTCTATTAGTATTAATGAAGGCCGTCGAACTAATTGATAGGATCTTGTTGGGGGCCATCTTTCTGCCTTAAGTATTCAGTAACCTTTTTGTAGTTATAATGCCATCTGGAGATTAGTTCAAAGTAGAGTAATTAGAAGAATAAGTTATGAAAACAGTTCAAAGCAGAGTAATTAGAAGAAATGAGTTATGAAAACAGTTTTCCCTCTAAGTTATAAATGCACAGCAAATGCTGTATAAAACTTCTTGTATTGATTTCTTTTTACTTGGGTTTTGCATGTCAGCACTGCATGCTCAGCAGAAAACTCTCAAGAAAATTCTGGGTTCTTTTGCCAACAGAGCCATTTACAGACTTATTTCTTTCATGGGTCACTTGACTTTTGACTCTGAACATATGGAAAATTAGACTTTATAGAGGACAGTCTTTTAACATAGGGTGAGAAGCCCTAGTTAAGAATTAGAATCCCTGTCAGAAAGAACCAGCAGGTCATAAGCACACTGGAAAGTGCAGATGAGAGAAGGAAGTAAAAGTAGTGTAGCAAGCATGCAGAATAATTTACCATTAAGCAGTAGGATGGGTAAGTGGGTTGTGGCTTTCTGTGTCACAAGCATGAAAAGGACATTCTAGTCCTTGGTGTACTGGTACTATGCTAGAAGTGGAGTGCTCACTGCCAAGCTTTGACTCTGGTGATGTTTACCCTGGCATTTTCGTTTCATGAGCTCTGTTTATTTCTAACCCCTGTGTAGGTGACCGGTGGAGAATTGCTGATAACTCCCTCAACATCACAAAGGTCAGCTTTGCTGACCGGGGCCGGTACACGTGTGCAGGCATTAATCATAACGAGACCTTGTACTACACAGTCACCCTGAGGGTAATCTTCACCTCAGGGGACATGAGCATCTACTACATGATTGTGTGCCTCGTTGCCTTTGCCATCACCCTCATTTTGAACATCACCCGCCTGTGCATGATGAGCAGCCACCTCCGCAAAACGGAGAAGGCCATCAACGAGTTCTTCCGGACGGAAGGGGCGGAGAAGCTGCAGAAGGCTTTCGAGATAGCCAAGCGTATCCCCATCATCACATCGGCCAAAACGCTCGAGCTGGCCAAAGTCACTCAGTTTAAGACCATGGAGTTTGCTCGCTACATCGAAGAGCTCGCCAGGAGCATCCCCCTGCCGCCGCTCATCCTCAACTGCAGGGCGTTCATGGAGGAGATCTTCGAGGCCGTGCGGGTGGACGACCCCGACGAGGTGGGCAAGGAGGACAAGCAGCCCCCCGGCTGCGGGGCCCAGGCCGCGCTGTTCGCCGGGAGCGCGGAGATGAAGCGCAGCCATTCCCCGGCCGGGGACTCGGACGACGGCTCCCTGAGCGAGCAGGGCCAGGAGATCGCCGTGCAGGTGTCCATCCACCCCCAGTCCCACGGGCAGAGCATCGACACCGTGTCCCACGGCAGCTGCCACTCTGTGCCTGCTGAGGAAGGCACCTGCTGAGCCCAGCCATCCACAGAGGGGCAAAGGAAGCTCGGGTGAGCCAAGGGTACTGTGAGGAAAGGGTCTGCAAACAAGCTGCCTCAGTCCCATGTGCACAAGAGTTTTCCAGACTGCTAGTTCTGAAGTGTGTATTTTCTGTCAGTGCTGATTTAACAATTGCAGTCTGCTAGAAAAGGCGGTTTGGAATATTGTGTGGGGGCTTTTCTTTCTAAAGCAGGCTTGCTATATTTAAAATAGTTACAAAACAGGAATTCTTTGTCCTTGGCTCCTTGGTAGCTTTTGATATTTCAGATCTGTGTGAGAAGTGACCAAGCTGAGCAGTACACCTTGCAATAAGAACTTTTCCTTTGTGAGCTCCTTCTTTCTTCACAAAGTTGAGCTGAAATTCATTTGAGTCAGTGTTGTTGTCCTGATGAATTGAGTTCTGTGCTCTTTTTGAGTTGCCTCTTGGTGTGTGTAGCCCATCAGAACCATGGTGAGCTTGAACAAATCTGTTTTGTGTCACGTGCTTCTGTGTTGCTATCAAAATGTACTGTACTTAGGAAAAGAATAGTGACAGGATCTGCTGCTGGATTAAGTGAATTGTTGTAGTTTCAAAGCAGCTTAGAGAACAACCAGGAGGTTTCAGTTTTCTGTGCATCTGCAGGAAACTTGTGTGTATTCTAAAAGCTAGTTGCTTAAACTTGGTGCTGATTGCCAAAGCGCCTTACCCTGGTCCTGTCCCACAGAATGGAGCAGTGACAGCACTGCTGGCACTGCCTGGCTTTTCATTTTGCTGATTTCACTCGCTATAGAAAATCCAAAGTTTTATATTGTATTTGACGTTGTGGTGAGAAAAGGATGACAGTAATCACATAGTGGCAAAGCTAATAGATGAATTTATCATCTGCAGACAGGTGTCAGGCACATCTTCCTGAACAGCATTATAATAAAGTAGGTGAAAAGTAGAGACACTGAGTGGCTCTGCTCTGGCTGGTCAGAAGGCAGTGGCAAACAGCAGGAGGGGAGTGACTCCCTGATAGAGCCCAGCCTTGTGTGCTGCCGAGGTGGAAGAAGGGAGAGCTGCAGCTGCTGACACATGTACACACACAAGTACTTCACCAAGGATCTCCCACCTGGCTTCCACAGCTGTAGAGATCCAGCCTCCAGGAATCAGAGTGCAGACAAGAATCTACTTTCTTCTTCCACTCTTTGGTGCTGTGTTTTTTTTTTTTTCCCCTTAACATTTGTAAGTTATATCATTTAAATAGCATTTTATATCCTGTTGAGATTTAGTAGATGCTTGTAAGCACTCCACATATTAATTTCTTACAACTACTGGAAGCATATTGCCATATAATTTTAACAACTTGGCAACAGGAGCGCCATTTAATTTCTCACAACTCTTTTTTCTTTCCTTATTATTACAGAAATGTCAGTTGAATAAGTGATTCTGGAGGGCTGCTCAGGATTCTTAAGAGGATTTGACATTACGTTTACATGGGTAGAGGTGGAAAACAAGCAGGCACAGTGGTAATAACAGGGTGGGGCTGTCTGTGGTAATACATGCTCAGAAGGAAGGGGCTGAAAGAATTATGGTTACCATATCAGAGAGAGGGAAATGACAGCATCTCTTACCATTTTAAACTACCTTCTGGGGAAATTCCTGCAGTCAGCCATCCGTTAAATCACCCTAGTTGCCTTTGGCCTGTCGGGTAAGAGTGGTGTTAGTCAGGAAGGAAATTGCTAGCCTTTATTACAATAACATTCCCACCAGCTTGGTGCCATTTCTAAGACTGTAGCAAACTTTGTCTGCTTCAGGGGAATAAAACCTTCTGTACACACTTGGAGTAGCTGCCTCAACAGTGACTTCTTTTTTTGCTTCCATAGTTTGATGGCACTTTATGTCCAGGTGAAAAGTTTGTATAGTTTTGTGTAGCCTGTCTGGTTTATTTTCATTTTTTTGAGGTTATCAATGTTAAAAGATACTCTGTGGATAAATACCTATTTCCCTTAGAAGAAGGAAGCTGCTGGCTTCACTTCTGTGCTACAGTGTGTTCTGCAGGTTTGTTGCACGTGTGAGGGGAGATTTGAGAGTTTGCACCCTTTAGGATGCAAGAGGTGAAGGCTACAAGAGAGAATGTTCTGTTTCAATCTCCTTTGTGCCACAGCCATCAGAATGTACCTGCACCTGCCTTATTTCCCTTTGAACAGCTCTCCTTACTCCTGTGGAACTGTTGCATGATATGCAACATATGGATGTATTACCCCTAAAAACAAACGCAGTGAGAGATGCCACTGCAAAATCTAAACTATTTAATTGCTTCCTAAGAAGCAGTTATGATTGACAGATGTCACATCAGAAGTGGCAGCTTACAGGCAGCAGAATGACACTGCAAGTGTCAGATGGGTGTCAGGAGAGCAGTTTCGAGTGATTTGATCTCTTTTTTTGATTTTCATACTTTATTTATGTAGCTCCGAGTTCTTACTGAGCACAGGTACCTGGTGTCTTTATGCATCCTATTGTTGGTTGAGAGGAAGGAGTGACCATGCATGAAGGTCCTCAGAAATGCAGTTGCAGTGTCAATTGCAGGACAGCAAAGCTGAGAGTTTTCCTGAATTACTGTATTCTGTTCCTTAAATGAATTTCATTCCTGGGAAGGAGGATGTTTTGTAAGGATTTCAGTATATCAGGAGTACCTTCTGAATGTAGGAACTGATCCTACTCCCACTGAATTCAATTAGAGAGGATTTGGAGCTCTGTGCATTTTACAGGATTTTTATGCATCTGAAAGCAAGGACGATGGTGATGTTAAATGGTAAAAGTGATTTCCTGGGAATGAAATTTGACACCAGTTTCCAAACAACTTGTGAACTATTCTTGTTACCCTGAGAGTAAATGCGTGCACTTAATGTCTTTGATGAATCTAATTGAACATTAACATTGAAAGTGTTTCTCTCTTAACTTTTTCTAAGATGAGGAGAATCTAGAGTAGTTTCTTTCCTTTAAATTAAAGTTTCTGACAATCACAAAGCTATTCTATCTCTTCTTTGTGACTTACTTTAAAAAATATAAAACCTACTTGTTATCCAAGAGTACCTAAAACTAACTTTGTAGTGATTATTTGTGTTACCTGGATTGTAATGTAACTGTTTAATGTAACCACCTAGGATTTCATACTTTCATAAAATGAATTGGTAGATTTGCAAAATAAATTGAAAAGAAAAACCTTGTTCTGCTGGAATTTTCTGTTTTACAAGTGAGGAGTGCCTGTCCCTCCAAGGTTATGTAGCAGCTGCATTGAGCTCAGCAGAATGTTGTTAAAAAGCCTGACAGAGGTTATTGGGATATTCAGTCATCTGAAGGACCATTCCTGCTATGACATCTTTGGATCTGTCTTTTTTTTTTTTTTTATTGTCTCAAAGTCTTCAACAGCATCTAATAATTGTTCCCAGCTGCAGATACAAACAGGTACAGACTTGAAATGGTTTCAGGAAGGCCCTTGTTTATTTATTTGTTTCACATTGTGTGTGTGACCTTCAACGACAAATCTGTTTTATTTGTTCATACCTTTTTCACATGCTGGTACTATTCTATATTGTAAGCACCTTTCTTTTTGTAGCCCCTCACCCCAAACACCAAAAATCCACCTTGCTGAGAAGCTTTCTGTGGTGCCTTCCATGGGGGTGTGCAAGTGTGAATGAGAGCAGAATTCATCCACGTTGCTTTGAAAGAAGAGTCTCTGGTTGCCAGTCTCTGCACAAGGCAGATTGAGCATTACAGCTGAATATTTGGGGATTTTCCCATGAGAATCAGCTGCCCAAAGGAAGAATTATGGGACCCATACTCCTCAGGCTAGGTCAATACTCAGTCAGCATCTGCTTTCTATCTCCTTGTTATGAGAGATGCATTAATGATAATAATTCAGTTTTTTAAAGCTCCTGTAACCTGATCCCTCATGAGCCTATCCACAGTGAACAAATTCATCTGCATCCATTTAGAGCACTTTTCCATCTGGTAACAACAGATCATTGAAAAGGGAGCTGCATTAAGGATGATTGTACTTTAATTTTAGGTGCACACCGTAAAAAAATGCATTTTTTTTCTTAATGTTACAACACTTGTGTGAGTGAAGTGTCCAGCTGGAGATGCCAAGGTGTCATTCAACTCAGGCAAGTTACAGCTTTATCGACTTGCCTTCAGCCAGGTCATTTCACACCAGCTGAGTCTCTTTCCTCTCTTTTTTTAATTGGATAGCAGCTCATTCAGATGTCTCCAAATACTGCCAGCTTTTTTGCATGTGGAAGTGAGAATTACACCATCATTCAAAAAAAAAAAAAAATCGTTCTGCTAGATGCTGAAATATCAAAAAAGCCCTAAAAGCTGGAAAGTTGTTCTTTATCCCTGGTAAAACAGTACCTATTCTTTGGTCATGCCTGGCTGCCAATGAGCGCAATAATACTGAGCAATTAGGCCTTTCACTGGCGTTAGGCTAATTAATTGTTTGCACAGTGCCCTGAATATGGAATCATTTTCCTTTTGGAAAGAATAAAAGGATTAGAATGGCTTTATCCCAAGTTGCTCCGAACGTCTTTTATTTATTTAATGGGAGAAAAATCCTCTGTTGCCCCGAAACGCAAACCGCACACTCGAGCGTTACGGCTGCTCGGGGACATTTCCATCAGTGGGGATGTGAATGCATCCACATATGTCCTTCCATCTGCAGCCACGCTCCATATGGGATCTGGGGGTCCTGCTGCATGGCAATGAGCGTGCAGAGGCTCGAGTGCTGCAGGGTTTGGCTGTCAGTGCCTCGGGGGCTGCAGGGGGATGAGCATCGCTCGGATTTCAGCTGCCTGCAGCACCACGGCCACTGTGAGCTGTGGTAGCGCTGCGAGGGCAAAGCTCTGGGACTGGACACTCTCTGAAGAGGTTTGTGCTGACTGAATCCAAGGCAAATGGAACCTGGGCTAGGGTCTCTTGGAGAAGGGATACCCAGTGGACACAATATTGCAGAGGTTATTGCTATCTCTTCTTTATGTTTGTCCTATTCGGTGCCTCTTTGTGCTACCATGTTATTAAATATATATTTCACGTTAAATGGCTCTACAGACGTGCAAAAAGCCATTTCAGTGGAAAGCAAAGGAATGTACTCAGCTCTAAGTGCAAGGCAGAGGCTGCCATCACACAGACTTCCACTGAAGGGGTTGGAGTTAACTGGCTGAAGTTCCTCCTGCCTTCCCTGCTCCCTGCTCTCCTGTAATTCCTGTTGTGGGCCATCTGCAAGAGCTGAAAGTGAAAATTGTGTCCCATGCTACTTTATCTTCCTCTAAAGATCAGGACACTGAGAACAGCCCTGGGTTTGAAGGGAGCATGAGAGGCCACCTAGGATGTGTTCTAAACCACAGATGTCCATCCTGGCTTGAAAACAGCTGCTAGTAGAGATGTTGCATCTCCCAGGCAATCTGTTCTCCTGCTAAACTCTCCAGACTACTGGAAA